ATTCCTCTAGGCAATCTAGAGCGAGGTCAGCCGAGGTGCGAGGTGGAGCAAATATTTTAAGCGAGGTGATTTAACTAAATTCAGAACAACGAGGTGCACACGTAGATGCAGCAGGAGAGGGTCCCACAGCAGGAAAAAACTTTTCAGGGCCTGAGCAGATATTTTATACGGTCAGAGGTGATTGTTGGGGAAAATAACTGTTTGAGCCCTGCAAAGTTTTTTTTTTCTCATAGTCTTCCCGTAGCCTTCCCGTAGCCTTCCCGTAGCCTTCCCGTAGCCTTCCCGTAGCCTTCCCGTAGCCTTCCCGTAGCCTTCCCGTAGCCTTCCCGTAGCCTTCCCAGAGCACCCCTAGTCTCATTGTTTCCGGCAACCCCTCAGCAAAGCCTTTGACACAAAGGCCAGCCACTTGCCTTTGGCCAGGGTCACATGGAAAGATATTCTGACATTGCTGTCATTTGGAATCCAGCGGCAACCGGAAATGCAAAGGATCCTTTCCAAGGCGTGTTTGGAGTGGGGAACAAACGGAACGAAATTTCTGGAAACGGCATAGCGGCGGAAAAATGAATAGTTTTGAGAGCTCAATTTAATGAACCATACTGTATTGCATATTGTATTCCATGTATATAGCAGACTTGTACTAGGACATTGCATTGGTGTTTGCAAGCTGGGGCTGCCAAAGTTTCCTGTAGCGCACTTGTACTGGGACGCGGCGTTGTTGTTGGCAAGCTTGGGGCTTTCAAAGCGCAAAATAAACTTTTCAGGGCTTGTAAAGTTGTTTTTCAGCACTCCAGGCAGCTATCCAGGGCTGCCAGTCCTCAGAATGCAAATAAGCGACCCTGCAGGCCTCCAACGGCTATCCGCGTTCTGGACTCGTACTACAAAATTGTGATTTTCGCGCTGGAGTTGCGGAAGCGTACTTTTTTGTACTTGGCTTGCACTACGAGTCGTGGAAGCGCGCTTCTTGCACTAGGCTTGTGCTACAAAATTGTGATTTTCGCGCTGGACCATGGAACCTCCATCGTAGCATAAATTTCTGCCTCTCCCCTTGTTCGATATCAAAATTGACTCGACGTAGCACTTTTTGCCTCCCATTCGCTTCCGAGCGCTTTTGACGATTCGGGCAGAAATCCCATTCGGCCGTGTTTTCTTCTTTGCCATGGTCTAGTTGCCGCCAAAACGGGCGCAGAAAAGTGCATAAAAAGCGCAAAACGAGCGCAAATCGGCGCAAAAAAGCGCAAACGAGCGCAAATTCAAAAAATGCTACGAATCGCAGGTAGCAAATTGCATTTGCGCGGATGTCTCGAGCACTTTCTGTTAAAACGAGCGTTTTTTGAGAAGAACGTGTCACGAGCAAAAATATTTCGTAGCAAAAATTAAGGTAGCAATGGAGGCTCCAGGGAGCTGCGGAAGCGTACTTTTTTGTACTTGGCTTGTACTACGAGTCGTGGAAGAGCGCTTCTTGCACTAGGTTTGTGCTACAAAATTGAGCTTTTCGAGCTGGAGCTGTGGAAGTGTACTGGAACGTGGCATTGGTGTTGGAAGGCTCGGGGCTGCCAAAGCGCAAAATAAACCTTTCGGAGCCTGAGAAGTTTTTCAGCACTTTAGGCAACTATCCGCGTGCTAGACTTGTACTACAAAGCTACGATGTGACGAGGGATTTAACAAGGTGACGAGGTGACGAGGTGACCACGGATTTAACGAGGCGAGGCGCACACTCCAAAACCTTATTTAACAACGAGGTGACGAGGTAAGATTTATTGCAAATTGCCTAGATTCCTGGAACCACAAGTGTGTGTGTGTGTGTGTGAACGGCAGTTGTTTGTTGCGAAGTTCCTGTCTCGCCGGATTGGCGCTAAAAGGCGCGCGCGGATTTGCTTCAATTTGCTTCAACCTTGGTGGGCTGTTCTTTGCATACCCAGTCCTCAGAATGTAAACCATTCCCTCATTCCCAACCTTTGGCTTGAGGGGCATGAGGGAATGTAAAAAACTGTTTTGGCTTGAGTCTTCACTGGCTTGTGCGTACCCCCTTTTTTTCGTGAAAGGGTTCCGAATTATTCAAAGTCGAGCGAACCATTTGCTGCAACCACAAGGGAACCAAGTCAAGCAACAGAAGACTATATAGATAGGTGTCCTGTGTTTTTCGCACCAAGGGGATCAGCCCTGAAAAGCGAAGGCCAGGTAATTCTGCTCAGGTTCCATGAGCCAGAAGGAATCACTCGTGGGAGATCGACAAAGGATCCCGAAAGCTATTCCCAGATCAACATGGGGTCCAAAAAGGTCGTGTTGTGCGCCAAGAGCCGACTCCCCTTCTTCTTAAATGTGTGCTTTCTAGGTGGTTCCCAGCCATTCCCTTCGGTTTTTAGTCGCTTTTAGTTGGTTTCGTGCTTGTGTTTTCGAATTTAACCCACAAGTTAATTAAACTTCTAGCAGATCTGAGAACAGAAACAGTACTTTCGCCGAGACAGTAGTGGAACTAGCTTTTGGTCGAGTTTCCACCGTTCCTCCGACAAAGTTCCCCGAGCGAACGGGCACTGCCAAGGCCTTCCACACACTAGAGCTGCCGCAGGACGAGGGCGGCGCGTCGATTTGTTTAGGTTGAGGAACCCCAGAAAATGGTGCTTAACAGCTTTCTTGTGGGATTTAGGATTTGGACTTCACACATGCAACCTGACGTTCGGGGACCGTTTTCCTTGTAAGATTTTGATGTTGACCAACCACCAAAGAGGACATGTCAGAAAAGGACAAAGGCACTCTTTTTTGGGATTTGGACGGACCCAGACAACCCTCCCAGCCTTTTCACACATGGAACCTGACGTTCGGGCCTGGTGGAAGACCATTGTCCTTAGGGGCCGGGTCCTTGTCAGGTATGTGAAAAGGGTGAGAGGCTAAATGGCGCTCAGGGGTTTTCCTGTTCCCTTCACCAGCAAGAAGAGGAGAATGGTAAAGGGGAAGCACCACAAGCCCATCTGAAACCTAGGTCGGATGCGAGAAGGTCGGCACAAGCTTTCAGGGTGTTTCTCAAAGTTGGGGATCGATTTGTTCAGGCAGGTTTCCTTTTGGTTTCTGTTGCCCAAAAGGGGTCCGATCCCATTTTGAGAAACCCACATTTGAAACAGGGGTCTTTTTGTTGGCCTTCTCAGGTAAAGGCCAAACAAATACTGGGAAAGTCCTAGAGAAGTACCATCGCGTTTGCCCTTGAATATCTGCCACGGCCAGAAAAGGGCTTCTTGTTGACCTTGCTGGTGTGTGACCCATTTGGCCCGAATCCAGAATGGACAAAAAGAAGCATTTTGAAGAACCCTGTCTTAAAGACACACCATGAAAATCATGCAAATCGGTGTTTCCATAGTTTACCTTTCATTTTGAATCTCATGTTCATTGGTTTACCTGTCCATGAAATTCATTGTTTGCCCCTGGTGAAATCCAAATCAACGTTTCACCAGTTGGATGACGGGTGCTTCCCGCCCGAATGTAACCATAATGCGAAGGACTTTTCAGGCCTGAGACCGGAGAATTGGGCGTTCTTCAACTTGGCCTCGACCCTGAGATCGACGTTGGCTCCGCCCGCCCGTTGGCTCCGATGCATGTGTGAAAAACCCGAAGAGAGTGTCAGCCAAGGCTGATGGTTCAAGGCCAGTTCTCAGCATGGATGTTCAAAGTGACACAGACCGAGTCATTGGAGCTGAGCTCACTTTTGAGGGTTCCTTCTTCCAGGAGACACCTTATCAGAGGTGCATTTTGCTTGAATGTTAGGACTTTAACTTTTTGCCAACTAGTGGGTTTTCCATTAAACCACTAAAAGTTAAGCTTTTAGCAGGGGAGCCGAAAGCAACCGAGACATTGAAATGAATAGGATGTTCTTACCCTACGTCAGATAGTCCATAAACATGGTTCGTGCTGGTGCCATGGTGTGCCTTGCATCCCCGTTTTAGGAGGGACAAGTTTGTCACCGGTGAAAGCCATTGCTCCAAGAGCGAATACATACATTACCCTCTAGCATGACCCCTGGATAGGCTAGCTCACCATTACAAGGTGCCTCCGCACCAAACAGGTCCCGGTACAGGCCATTTCGATACGCCCTCTGGGTAGTACTCAGGTTCTGAAAGCCCGAAGACCTAGTTATCTTGTCTTTCTTTTGCTCGTGCGATAGGGCGGGCCTTAGGAAACCATAGGGGATTGTTTCTCTTGATCATTCCAACTCATTCCCTGCTGAGAACCAGGAAGCTGTATGGGTTACTTGTTTGGCGTGCCAAGGCGCCTACGTGTCTGCTGCCTGCGCCCCTGTGGTACAAACGGGTTCCCTCATTCCCAGGTGTTGGATATAGCAAGCAGATGCACGGTTGGCCATGTAAGGCTAAGTTTAACGCGGCAAGGTCTGGCGTACCTCCCAGTTTCCTGGGTAGGGGGGGGGTTACCTGAAAGATGATCTCGCAGGACGCTCTGATTCGCGGCATTACAACCAGCCGCTTGGATTGACAATCCAGGCCTCTTTTGTTTTCTCGTAGCCCATATGAAAGAATTGCCACTGTCATCTGAGTCTGAGTTGCATGGAGATGGCAACTAATGTTCAGCCCGGATTGTTTCTCATTGACCCGGATCAAAATCGGGAGTTCCCCTTCGAAGTGAAGGATGTCCCCTCAGCCAGGAGAGTGTTTCATTGCTAAGGTTGGACCCCCCAACAAAAATGTGGCTTTCCTGTTGGTTTCCCTTTTAAACCACTAAATGGTACCCTCCAAAAAGACTGACCCCAGGACAGTTTCGAATGTTTTGCTCCTGTTGGTTTTACAGGGAACCTATCACTGCTGGGATATCGCAGGGGACTTCAGGTGGTTTGAATTGGTGGTTTGGATTTGGACTTGAACCCCAGGTTGACCACTAAGCTTATGATGTGCAATCAGCCAAAGTTCTATGAATGTCCGAACAACAAAAAAACAGTTTTTTGTTTATTTGTTTATTTGTTTAAGGTACACCATGAGATACAAACCTAGAATACACTCAGAGAAGCATCGATTTGAAATCCAAAGCACAAAAGCCGCCGATTCGGCTCAATTCGGCCAACCCAACCCACGTGGGAAGCTGAGCTCGCGCCTCGCTTGAGGCCCTGGAAAGGCCAGGGCGGTGGGGCGTTTTTACCCCTGAGCAAGCTGGCAGAAAGGGTTCCTTTGTGAGAAAGCATGTGGAGGGGTGGTTTGTTTTTTTGCTTCTTTTTGTCTCCGGGCCCTCATGTTTGGTGGTTTTAAAGGGAAGAGAAAACATTGCGGGGGGGTGGGGGGGTGTTGAGGATACCTCATGCTTGGTGTTTTTTTTAAAAGGGACACCGCAAGGAAAGCCGCCTTGTTTTTTTGGCGGGAGTCCCGTAAAAAAAAAAAAAAGCAGCACAGCTTCAGGATGCATTCCGGGTGCCCTCCCTCCAGTTCCATGTCGGGCATGTTACTTTCATGGCCGGATTTTGGGGCTGAGAAGGGGACTTGGGATAGGCAAAAACCTGATCTTTCACCCACTGGTTAGGGGAGAACTCGCAGAAGAGGCCTAGTTCTCAGTTCTTGCACGTGCGTGCATACTCATTTGGCCTGCGTTTGTCTGGTTTCCCCTCATCATCGACCGCAATGACTCTCAAAACTTTAAATCTACCCTGATTGCTTCAACCAGGCTTTGCCTCAATTGGTTGAAAACAAGCGGAGCCCCCATGTTTAAAAAGAGGGTGTCTTGCCTTGTTGGAATCCCGTTGTGGTTAGACATGCACTGGAGCTAAGTCCATGCGATCAAAGCAGGTGTCTACACTTGCCTTGGCGGTTCCCAGCCGTCCGGTTCCTTGAGCATTAACTTGTTTTAGGTGGCTTGGTGGTTGGGTGTCCATTTAACACACCAAAAGTTAAACTTTTAGCAGGGGATCTGTTTCGACAGCACAGGTATAGAGGCTGGTCATGTGTTATTTATATTTTGTTTAGCAAAAGAGGAGTAAATCCCTGTCGGCCAGAGCAAGTTGGACACTTTCATGGTTGTTGTTGGGAAACATTTGTCATTTTTGCTTATTGTGGTTTAGTGGGAAATCCAACCACTTAACTTTGCTCCCCTTCTAACGTCAACCAAGCTTTGTGGAGTATAGAAACCGTCTTTAAAGCACCGGCGGGAGAGGGGCGGTGGCCAGGACTTGGATTCCGGCTCCGATGAGTGCAGCCCTCGACTTTGGGCATGGCGTTAGATGAAATCCGCCCTCCTTTGTCACTTGCCGGAAGGCCATTTGTTTTGTCAACCCCCGTGTTTCATTTGAGCCATAATCAAAACCCGGGTAGATGAAGGTTAGTAAGGGACGATCCCAGCCAGAAATAGTTGCAGCCGCCTTCTTATCTTAGTTCTTTACATGGTTCTGGGTCGACCATTTTTGTACCAGGTTTTGATTATGACTCATTTGTGGGTGTCCTTCATTTTTCAATCACTTTATACCCGCCGGACAAAGGCCATTTGGCCGTGAGTCAAAATTAAACCACCAGGGGCCCGCAGATTTTGGTCCATGCTTCAATTTGCCAACCTATGTTTGACCCACAGCCATTTGTTTTGTCAACCCCCGTGTTTCATTTGTGGGTGTCCTTCATTTTGCATTTCGACCAGCAAAGAGTAATCACTTTTTGGCAAGTATAAGTCTGGTCGTTTGATGGCGACGGATGTGAAGACTGGTACGCTGAAAACGTAAAAGTTGAACTTGTTGTTTGACCCCTCAATGACTTACATGAATTCGTCCCTCCGTGTTAGGGAAGCCGTTGATGAACAACCTGCTTTCTGGCTCATCTGGACTCAGATTGCCACGCAAGTGGAATGCACCCATCAACATCGACCAGGTTGAAACCAAGCTGTGTCCCACAAAACAAAAGAAGCGCGACCGCTGATAAAGTACCCCTCATTCCAGAGAGGACCTTTGGTTACTGTAGAGATATGTGTTTCTTTCTACTTTCCTTCAACTTATGGAGATTCCTGGAAACAGACGTCCTCCAGTTTGGGCTGTCCCTGAACATCATACAAAAGACAAGGGTTGTGGGTTGTGGTAGGGAGAGAGGACAAGGATTGGCAAACCCGGCTGGGGATGCATGTGCCTGCATGTTTGCATGTGTGTGTGTGTGCTGTGTCGCTTCCTTGTTGAGTTGCTTCTGACCCAGCGGCCCATTCCAATTCTTCATTCAACTTTGGACAAATTCCTGTGACGCAGGCAAGCTCTATTACTACTCTGTCCCTTGAAGGGGATCCCCTTAGTGCAGAGCAGGGGATGATTAAAGCAGCTGGTTTGCCAGAACTATGACTTTGCAACACGTCGCCCTACCTTCGATTGGTTTCCAGCAGGGCCCCAGCAGAAAGTGACCCAACACCTTATCTGTTGGGTTCTTGGGTCAAACTCAGCCCTCATACTTAGGGTCTTGAAATTGGGTAAGCGCAGTGTAATAGCCCCCGCTTATAAGAGGGGAGGTTGTTTCTAGGGCAAGCTCCTTCGCAAAGGAACCAGGACACTTGTTTGGATGTTCAACCCATGTAGGTTTCCCCCTGGTTATTACCGGGATAACAAAGGTGACGGACAGGACATGGTTACTTGATGGGCGGGGAGTTCCTCAAAATAGGTGGCCCCCCTGGGGTATTTAAAGATCACGAGAGGAAACCGACCATGTTAGGGGACCATGATGTTGAGACACACCCTTTTCCCGTGTTTCTCAACACGGGGTCCCCTATTCAAAATAGCTGGTTTCCTCTTGGTTGCCCTTCAAGTGCCAACGAACTCGCGAGTCCAGCATTTTGAGAAGCACCCATACAACTTGCGAAGCGGCTTTCCCAATGTTCCAGGGCTACCCATGGTCAATCTCGGGGTAACCCTGGGTACCTGGGGTTTCAGTTGAATCCCCTTGTGTTTTCAAAAAAAAGGAAGCCCAGACAAAAAGAACTACCACGTGTTCTAGGGCCTTCCAGTTCCATTCTTGGGCTCCGAGTCCTTGCGAAAGCCTCCTTTGAAGCCCTGGGAAACGGATCCGGAATGGAAAAGGGAATCCACTCGAAGCCAGCCTGATCCGATCAAAAACCAGCAGTATGGGGGAAAATTGGCTGTTTGGGGAAGTACTCACACCATTGCCAAGGAGAACTTCTCGCTCACCTGGCTTTGTGTGAGCCATGATCACCACTAGGTCCCGTGCCAAAGCTTGTACCCTTTGTTGAGGGTTCACCTAGAAATGTCACTGAGGGAAGGGCCCTCCAAGTCTGTGGTCTACCTCAGCGACGCCACCATGCCCACCATGGCCGGGAAGCTCGATCGGCTTTTTTCGTCAAGCACGCGTGTGAGGGACTGACCGCGGTGCCCAAAACAGTTGAACGGGAAACAGGGAGATTCCTCTAATATTGGGTGCATTTTGCCAAGGGATGTTGGGACTTTAACTTGTTGCCAACTAGTGGGCTTTCCATTAAACCGCTAAAAGTTAAGCTTTTAGCAAGGGACATGCAGTTGCCATTGTTGTAGGCGGTTCCACTATATGGTTGAACAAGGCTGGGGTGGACTTAGGGGACATTTTACATTTTACCAGTGACTCAAAGTGAAGCAAACAATAGAATATACATTCTATAACTGGGCCCAACTCTAATCATGAAGGGTCAGCAAGGCCCATAGAAACCTGTAAAACGATGTTAGAACCAAAAGTCAATGGAGCGCTGCTCACATGGGGGGGAATATGAACCCAAGATGGTGGCGAGGGGGTTCTACCGCTGGGGGGCGCAGTATTGAAAGGTCCTTCTCTATGCAGATTCAGATGGAACCAAAAAGGGAGTTCCTTAAAAGGGAGTTTCCTCAATGTTGACCCCTCATTATTAGCCCTGCCCTGCCCCTTTGACGAAGGGGGGGTTCGGCAGAAAGGCATCCCCACCAAAACTGGATTTTGACCTGATTGATGACCAAGTTTATTGATCAGGGACAACATGACAACCCCCCCGCCCCGCCCAACCCCCAAATCCCCCACCCCCAAACCCCCGAACTCCCCAAATCCCCCGAACTCCCCAAACCCCCACCCCCTTTCCCCAAACCCCCACCCCCCTTTCCCCAGCCCCACCCCACGGAGTTCGCCAAAAATCGTGCCTGGCCGTGCCATGGTCGCCTTCGACGAGTTTTTTTTTCGAAGTTCCGAGCTCCAAACCGGGGCATTGCAGCTCTGAGAATCTGGCTCTGGCTCAAAAAACTGGAATTCCAAAATGGGTTACCCTGGTAAGTGGAAACATGGGTACCAAAACCTGCGGTTTGCCCCTCCTGTTTGATTTTAAGCCACACCCATATGATTTGGGTCTGGCTGCCGAGGTAAAATGGAGCCAAGGACTAAAACCTGATGACCCCAATTCCTGGTAATGCCAAAAACTGTTCACCCATGGCACATGCCCATTTCTCAGCTGGCGGTCAGATTCTTATCGCTTGTGAGCGGTCAGCCTGGCACTTGACTGGGAGTGTTCCCAGCTATCAACGGGATTCAACATGGCAATGTCTTCGGGCCTACAGTGGCACGATTACCGAAGGGAACGCGCAGCCCGGGACCTGACAAAGTTATTATTATTATTATTGTTCTATTTGTGTGATGATCAGTTAGTATTATTAGTTTGTGTTATCATTGTTGTAGTCATGTTTGCTATATTGTGTGTTCATTATGATTATTATCATTATTATCATTATATGCTTTTTTTATTCACTCAGACGACTGAATGGGTAAGGTGGGTCCCGACGTAAGAAATCCCTTAGGCCGGATAAGTCTTACCTGGAAAAGAAGAAGCATCACTATCCCCCTTGCTCTTGGTGTGCGAATCTGTAGACCGATGGTTTAGGAAGAGGAGCACCTTGGTGCTATGCGAGATCGAGGCTAGTAGCCTCATGTCCTACATCGCGGCCCATGCTCCACAGCCTGGGGCCAACAGCCAGCGCAGGTCGCCTCGGTCGGATTCCCTGAGTTTTTGACTACGGATTTCAAACATGTGCCGTGATCAGCTTCTATTCCTGGGTTTTAACTGGGCAACTGAGTCGTAGGACTTGGCATGGAGTGTTTTCCTTTCTAGGGACACCAGAAACGCAAGTGGTGCCGACCTGGGAGCAAATCTATCCCCAAAACCACACCCTAATGTGGATGGACGGAATCCTGCACCACCTAAGAAACCTCCCATGTAAATAACAAACAATGGGTTCTGCAACTTCAGGAAACTGGCCGACGCTTGGCTCCAAAAGCAAAACGGCCAAGAAAGAGAAATGTGTACAACATTTAATGGGGGGCCATGGTGGTGGACACCATTTACATCGATTTACATGATATTTATGTCCACCAATCATTCTTGATGGTGTTCCCTGGATTCACAAAATCATTTCGACCACTTTGAAACCATGAATGCACCTTGTGAGGAGTTTCTTTCCGTGGGTAAGGGAATCCTGTCTCTGTGGGATTGAGCTTCTGCAAGCGGCTGAGATTTTCAAATTTCCCGTTGAGTAGTTGGCAGACTGTGAACTTGTTGAGTCAAGTCAATGTCGGATGAATCTAGACTGGTATTTGTGAGATCATTTTGCACACGATGAGCGCAGCATCGTTTCTACATTTCTACAACTTTAAACCTGTACACACGTTGTTGCCGATGCCGACTTAGGCCGATGGTCACTCCGGCCACAATTGAATGCGCTGCAACAAATCGCATGTGTGGCGGATTTGTCAGAGCGGAGTCGATGGCAGAAATGCGTCCACTCAGTTGCGCAGCTCTCAGAAATGCTGGGGTTCATTCCCTAGGCATTTCGAGTAGCCCAACCACACGCATCTGTAATTTGCAGTACTTAGTTTTCCAGCTCCTTCAAAAAAGGCGAGTCAACCGTGGAATGTGCAAGTGCTCCTTTTGGTCGTGCACGCCCAGGAGGTGGGCCCGATTCCCTTGGATCTTTCTCACCAAAAAATGAACCCTGGAAAATGATGGAACATGGTTGTACGAAGAATAGCATGGGTGAAGAAAATGGGTGCGTCTCTTAGGGCACCTTCCAAAATCGGAAGTTTCCCTTGTGGCTTCCCTTCAAAACCAACCAGGAACCCTCAAAACAAGGCCAACAAAAGGCCTCGCGTTTACGTTTGTTTGGGGTTCGGAAAGGCGCCGAGTTGGCCAGCCTTCCGCTTCAATGTTACATCTCTTCACACATGTGGGTGTGTCTTTTTTTGGCGGATCCCCCAATTTGGTGGTTGTTCCCTTTGGCTTTCATGTAAAACTCAAAACGGGGTACCAACTCTCAAAAAAGGGCGTGTCAGCAAGTCTCCATGGCAAGAGTGCAGACCTAGGACAAATCCCTGGCTGCAAAAGGCTGGGATGCAACTTTCAGGGGTCTATGTACATTATATATAATATTATACATAAAAACAAGTGCTTTGGAAGGAACATGTCCGTTTGTACCACTTCTTTCTTTGAGAAAAAAAAAACACTTAAATGCCAATGCTGCTGTATTTTTTTGGAAGGGGAACCGTTCTTTCTGTCTGTTGACCCAGTCCCCTGGATGGCGAACGCCAGATCAAGCCCACCTCCGGGCGTTTCCTCTGCGGGCGACTGGCCGAGAGGCGCGGGAAATCGATCGGAGAATCGCGGAAGCGGATCGGAATCGGATCGGACGGGCAGGAGACTTCCCCAGAATTCGCTCCCCTTTTTTCTGTGGGAGAAAGCCTCCCGTTTTGGAGGGTGTCTAAAGGTAAACCCAGAAAAGGTTCAGAAGAAGCCCAAACAGTTTTAACTCCCCTTTTTGTTTTTTGAGGGGGTTTATTTTGGGGTAGAATTAGCTCCCAGAGACCCCACAAAGGGACCCCTTTTTGTGTTTCTCGCCTTTTTTTTGGGTCCCTTTGTTTTCCACTAACCAGGCAAAAAGACATTTTTCTGCTGGGGTCCTAATTCCAGCCTAGGAGAAAGCCTCCTGTTTTGGAGGGTGTCTAAAGGCAAACCCAAAAAAGGTCCAGAAGAAGCTTAAACAGTTTTAAGGCTCCATTTTGAGGAACCACTTTTAAGGCTCCGTAAACCAGAAACGGGTGTTTTTGGGCTGCCTTTCAGATTCATGTCCAAAAGAAGCCCAAACAGTATTAAGGCTCCATTTTTTCAGAATCGGAAGCCAATTTAGGTCTTTTCGGGCTTCCTGTCAGATTGATGTTTGACCAGCAAGCAATAGCAAGTCCGGCCAATTGTTGGCCACCCCAAATGGGTGTTGCCAACAAACATGATGATCTTTGATCTTTATTGAAGGTAATTTGCAAGGAAGACGACAGAGAAGGTATCAATCATTTGTCTTGGGTGCCTGTTTTGATCACCCTGTTCAGCCCTACCTCAGAAAAAGATGTTTGGATTCAAAACCAAAATATAATATGTCCACCGAAGGATTCCCAACGTTGACTCCATACTGTCCATACCTCATGGCGTCCCAGTGGGTCCTACGCAGGCCTTAAGTACAACTCGCCCATGCAGATAACATGTGTTCGTGGGACTGTTTTGTTCCTGAACACATGTTTTTTCGGCACTTAATGATACAACTACTTGCACACGCACACGCTTTGTTCCCTTATGCTCATGACTTTATTTGGTCTCGACGTACCCCACAGCCCAAGGGCACTTTGGCGTACCGGGCGGGCCTTGAAACTTAGCCTTTGCCAGGGAGGGGAATTTTTTGTAGATACCCTTCAATGAGAGGCTCGTGAGGGCTGCCTGCCTGAAAGTAACCTGTGATTTGGGCGTGTCTCCTCCTGAGGATACCCCTCTTTTGTGGTTTAAGAGAATCAAGACAAGAGGGAAGCTTCCATGTTGGGATTCCCTAAAAAAGATACACCCATTTACGAATGTAAGAAAGGCGTAAACTCTTAGTGGGAAGGTTTTTCTTGGGGAGTTTCAAAGCGCGCTCTGCCAGATGGACAATCAGCGAGCTGAAACGAGCACTGAGGCGCATGGGGGCTTCTCATGGGGGCCACTGGTGCCAAGGGCAACACAAGATCAGTGGAGAACGGCCACCACAAATCTGCATAGATTCCTGACGGTGTCAATTCACTAGTGCGACGCTGTGAGTGATGACTGTGCTTGCATGACTTGGGTTAGACATACTGTGGATAGACAATATCCTCCACCACCCAAAATGATGATTTTCTGTAAATGCTAACCAACCATGGTTTAACCCTGGTTTCAAAGTGGTGCGAAATGGATATCGTCCATCCACAGTATTTGGAACCCTGATATTCCTCTTTCTTTTCAGGGCAGGAGGGATGGCTTGGCCAATTTTTCAGCATGCTCACCATGACTTACATCTGATTGAGACGGCCCCAAGACAAAAACTCATGCGGGGGGGGGGAGGGGGAGGGAGCCCAGATCAGCCCTGATTTGGGCTCCCCCTCCCTCCCCTCCCTAGCCGACATCGAGATCGCAGCCCCTGAACCTGAGAGTTTGCGCCAGGCTGCTGCGCCTGCCCACCGACTACGCGCCAAGCTTGGGACGATTCGCGTTTTTTGTTTCTTTCTTTTTTTCTGGGTGGTCTGAGCATGTGGCGCTGGGGATATCTAGATGCTCTTCTTCGTTGAGTGTTGTCAAAAGTATGCGCAAGCCAAACATATTCACCTATATTCATATGGTTACATATATGCGGGCATAAGATCGAGTCACTGGCAATAGTATTGCTTGGCAATAGTATTGCTTGGCAATAGTATAGCTCGGTTCAAGCCAAATTCTCGAGAACAGGTGCTTTTGGGGCCAAACCTATGCCAGGTCCTGGAATATGTAATTTGGTCCGTTCAACTAGAACTACCCCCTGCCACTTGCCACCCTTCAAACTCCCTATGGTTCGGTGACGTGAAGATTTTGACGATTTGTTGCAACCCACCAAAATATGCAGGACGTTGGACTTCAGAACCTCGAAATGGCTTTGGCAGTGGTTGTGAAAAATCGAGAAAAACCCAAAAGGGGTTGCCCAATCGGCTGGCTCCAAGGACTAAATCCTGCGAAGCACCCACTTCCTGGTGGTCTACATGAAACCAAGGACTAAACACCTGTCATTTTGGACCCATAGCAAACATACCCACCTTGGTTTTATACCCATACCTTGGCTTTACAAACCCCATTGACCCAGTTTGACCCCTAGCTGAGGTGCAGTCCCTGGAAGATGAGGAGCTGGCCTTCCGCCCAGATTGGGTCGTTATGGGCAGCAGAGCGTCCCAGTCTGGCGGGTTTCTAAAGACATGTCGAGGTGATATGGCTTGGTCGCCCCTAGCCGTCCGGTTCCTGAGCCTTTTAGGATCTTTTAGCTGGTTTAGTGGTAGTTTCCATTAGACCCACGAAAAGTTAGTCACTTTTAGCAGGGGATCTGAGGATATGGGTATGGCTCAAAAAACCGGAATTCCAAAATGGAACCTGACCGGTAAGGGGACACATGGACCAAAACCCGCGGTTTGCCCCATCCAGTTTAATTTTGAGCCACAGCCATATGGGTATGGGTCAAAATGAAACCACCAGGACTTCGGTGATCCGCAGGTTTTTAGTCTGTCTGTGCTTCCATTTCCCAGGTTACCCCAAACGGGGGGTGACCCTATTTTGACCCACACCCGTATGTCCCCTTGATTTGTCCAAACGAGAAACAAGGGAGATTGGATTTGGTTGTGTTGTGGTGGTTTTTTTGTTTTGTTCCCGGAGGGGTAAGATATGGGTAAGATTTGTTCATTTTTTCAGACCCCCTAGTTCAACACCCTGGTTCTTTTCAGTGTGGCTTTCCCTGGAAGCGACTCTGAGAACAGGCTCACGCGAGACTGACAATTCAAGAGGCGTTATGAGCAGCGCCAAGTTTCGCTTTGGGTACTGGGGGTATGTTCCGGGTGGTAATAGCAAAGGCCCCCCCCCCCACCCACCCCAGCCCCCCCCTGCAAGGCTCCTGTCTCAGGGGAGGAATGACCCCAAACTGAACCTCTGCGGTTTCTTAGGCATCCAACCAAAAACGTGCTCCCAGTTCCCAGAAAGCGCCAGTTGACCTGGTGTTTGGAAAAGCGAGGGATAGGAAACCACAAGGCATAGAGGTCGTTCCTGCATTTTGTATCAAACCACACGAAATCCCGCACCACTTTGCAGGTAGTTCACAGTGTTCAAGTGGCTTCATCCATCACAACTGCTGCAAAGTGGATATTTCCCAACCAAACAGGACAATTCCTTGATGGTGCTCAGCCGGAAATGAGAAATGGAACGACCCCTATAAACCATCCAACTGACTGGTTTCCTTTCAGGGCACCCAAACAAATTGGGCTCCTTCCATTTCTCGTTCCCTACTCATCGCAGCGATCGCAAGCTGGGCTTCGCATCCGCCCATTCGCCCGGCTGGAGGTCCCGGTGCTCGCCCAGCAGCTGGGCCTGGAGAACGTGAAGGAGCTCCACGGCATCGGGGAGGCGCAGGGCGCCCCAGCGCTTGAAACGCGCGAAAACGCTCGAAAGGAGCGCCCGCTGCGAGGCGAACCTTTTCCTGGGCGGTTCAACCGATGCCCAGGAAAAGAATGGTTTACTCGATTTGGAGGATGAAAATCCTGAGGTACAAGAATGGTGGTTGCGGTAGCCGAACATCTGTTTTTGAGTTGGCAGCCTTCTTGGGCTGGCCTTAACGGGAAACCACAAGGCACATCGAAGTCCACTATTCGCGTTCCTCTATTTTTTGCATACCCATTTTCACTCCCTGACCGGTGGGACGACCATTTTGGTGGCAAGAAAGCTTTTGCACTTCGTTTTGGCAATCCACTCAGGACGTGTGTCCAGATGGAAGCGCGCCCAAAATGTGTTTTCTTTGGGTTTCCTTACACTCCAATCGGGGCCCGGTGGAAATTAGTGGATTTGACCCGCTCAGTTGCCGGATTCTTTTTGCTTGGTGAGTTTGGGGGCGAAAGATGAAATCCAGCCACAGAAAACAATGTCCATTGCCCAATGTAGCAGCGGAGTGTGGGGAGAGCCAATGACCGACTGATGGAGTACGTTTTTTCCCCACAAAAACCCAGGAGCAACAGAGCTGTTGGGAAAATTCCAAACATCGGTTCGTTAAGCATCGGTTCGCGGAGCCATGTCAGCTGTTTCAAAGTGAAACGAAGCTCCACAATGGCAGATCCAAGCGCAAGACTCGAAAAGGAATCGCGCCCCTGTCAAGCCTAGTTGTTTAATTTTACCTTTTTCATTTTGTTTGGTGGGTTCTCCACTAAAATGGTGAACCCCAAAACGGATTTCCCTTCTTTGGGGCTTTGGGCAATCGGCACTCTTGGTTCGAATCTCGGTAGTTCTCTTTGAACATTGCGTAATTTGATTGACTCGCACCCTGGTTTATTCCCTAGAGTGTCCCCAGACAGGTACGGTATGTTCATTCCTCAGCCTCTGTTTCGTCCAGGCCATAACCTTTGTTTTGAGGCTTACGCTGGGCACACCAGAGGAGCTGTATCGCAAGGCCTGGACGATTGGAGGGGGAGGGCCCTCATTTGGGCTCGTTGCGAGGGCTTTCAGGCGGCCAATTTGGAATGATGGGCATCCCATTTGCTTGCTGGGTACCCCAGTAGTATCCTTTTACCCTTTTTTGGGGGAGGGTTCCCTTATTCTAACCTCTCTACTGGAGGACCTAGCTTAGCTATCCTCTTCGTTTAATGAGTTCACTGTGTTCCATCATCCCTTTGTTTTGAGGCGATCATTTTTCTGGCATCCACTGCTTCGGAGGCGGACAAGAGCTTAAGGTTTAAGCGGTCCTTGGTTCGGTGTTTCTAGCCTTGCCGTGGCTTTGCAACAGTTTCTCAAGCATTGCCTTGTTCTCCCCACGTCATGAATTTCAGTGGGGAGCACCCTTACAATTTGTTCTTGGATATGATTTTCGCAACCACGTAAACATCCCTGAATTGAACAGGGGTTCTTTTGGTTCCCTTCTCGCCAGGATCGACAATGGGGCCCCGTGCAGTCCCCTTGTGGTTTGCGTTGCTCGCGATATGTGGCTCGCACTGCAAGAGCCCCCAAAACGCTGGGGCGGTTTGTAATGTGGGGTGTTTCTAGCTACTTCGCCCCTTCATCTATTCGGTTTCAAGTCAGCGATGTCCTCACCAAATGGGGCGTTGAGTTTGAGAGTTGTTAGCTTGCCTTGAAGGGAAACCAGAAGGTTAGGGGCCCCCCCCAATTTGCAGCACACATGCCCAAATCGCAAGCCCTGCATTTGGCTGGTTTTCGTCCCTTATGTTTGCTCAAATTTGGATTCTGCGTATCAACCTGTCGGTCGATTCGAGGCCAGGGAAGGCATTCTTCCCAGGATTGTTGAAGCAACCCCCCCATCTCAAACCACCTCGTCCATTTGCTGAAGTGAATATGTGTTATGTTCCCTTTTTGGTTTTAAAGGGAATCTATCGCTACTTTTGTTTCTTCCAGGGGGCTTAAGCAAATGGAAGACCTGAAAAACTGAAACCGCAGCTTTCTTCCCAGCGACCTGGCAAGCTTGAGCTGAACATCGGAACATCGGGTAGGATCAATC